TTTGCTTCAACCGAAAACGCTGACTTCTGCCCTTATTTCTTCCGCCTTTCACGGTGTTCCGTCCTCGTGGCGGAAAATAAATTCGCCATGGGCGCGATGCGTGAAAATTACTCGTCCCATTTCCATTCTCCACCCAAAGCCAGATTTATTCAGCCCGTAGTCAGCCAAATGTGTTTATTCCTCCCGTCGACCGCAGGGACTACGAAATAAATTATACTCCTCAACCTCATCGATTCTTTAAACGTTCCATAAACGGTTACACTGGAATAAGGAATATTAAGGTCACGTAAAATCATGATAAATGTGTATTTATTTTAGTAAAACAAAGAAGCAATTTTGGATTTGTTGCAAAAAATTTAATGAAATGCATAAAAATTTGAAACAGTTTTATTTTTTAATCAGAAAAGAATCAATTATTTTATCGTTATTTCTTGCAATGTCCTCTAACATTATTATTTCATACAGAAATGTATCTGTTATATGTAAGACACAATACAATTCTCTGATACAAATATTCATACGTTAAAGCGTTCAATGCATGATCATAATTGGATACGCGCGCAATAATAATTATTAATTGTGTCAGTCATAATAATCCTGAAAACGATTATTTAATCTTTTTCAATAAATTATTTTCGCAATAAACGATTGTTTGAGAATTTTCCCGAATAGCCGTGGGCGTCTATCGATCGTTTCAGCCATATCATTCCTCGTTAATTGTGTAACAATTATTAATTACTTTTTATAAAATCATTGATATATGATATACACTATGCCAGTATATTTAAATGGAAGCAAATTTTATAATAATTCGAGAAATCCATTATTTGAATATTAAAAGGGATTATGGAAATACTTTTCGAAATTTGCAATCAATCTGCTTATAAAAATTAAATGCGTTTCCGAGCGAGGGGTTTCTAAAAGACAATGCTTCATTCTTTTGGACCCTTTTTTCTTCTCTCGTCGCGTACGAACAATACATGCGAATCGCACACCAAGTGACTACACGACTTCACAAATTTCCCGAATACAATGGGCCGGGCGCAATTAAAACGCGAATTCTCTGCATTTTGAACATGTCGATCGCGTACCGTGAAAAATGAGTACGCGCGAAGTACTGGAATTCATGCGGACCCGTTTTGAATTCAATTTTGCTTGCAAAAAGTTCCCACTTCCTTTGCGTGCATGTACATATACACATGTGAAGTATTTTTGTTTATAGTAGATGTATTGTCCATTTTTATCCAGTCGTGACACACGTGGACCCGGAAATTATTATTTTTTGTACGTTTTTAACAATTTCATGGTTCCATCTGGAATTCATTCGTGTTTTTCTTGATGAGTTTGTAATGCAATTTTGCCCATACACAGTAGAAGCAGTTATAAAATAATACAGGTGAATGTAAATGAGAATTGATGCGGTCGGATTGGCACGCATTTTATAGTACGTACAAACCCTATTGCCTGGAACGAATTTAGAAAATTATGGCAAGATTAAACTGCTAACCAGTTAAAGTGTGAAACTATTTTTATCGCGTTCATGCCTGAAAAACTTGTCACGTCACAAAGTCTACGAGCAAGTAGAAAAAAAGAATGGAATCGAGAAACCGCGTTAAATCGTGTCGTAATTCTGCATTTCCGTCTCCGGCGATAAGAAACGCGAGGAACCGCCACGGACGTTCAAACGGGTCTGGCACGTACATATTAGAAAGAGCATTCCCAGAGAAACCGAGCGCATTTTTCCATGCGGCTGAAACGCGCCGGGAGATTATCGATAGTTGAAACAATGCCTGAGTCTTCTTCGACTTTTAGAACGGAACCGAAGAAATACATGTGGGTCACGTCTGGAGGTAAAGAGCCGATGCGGTCGGACGAAAAAAACCCGGGTGGGGATAAAAGAATAGGAAAGAAGGACTCGATGTTTCCTCGAAGGGGCATGCTCCGTGTTTGAACGAGTCGGACAAGCGATAAACGAAGAGGTATAACAGAGAGCGAGGGAAAGAATGTAACATAATGGTAGCACAGTTTCTACAGCGTTTTGTTTCGTCTGTGATTCGCCTTTTATGAACCCGTCGACCTCTCGCTGGTTAGAAAGAGCGTGTTCCGAGAGGGAAAAAGATGAAAAGTTGCCGAGCGGGAGAAGGGTCCGAACCAGTACATGTGTACGAGTGTGTAAGAATTAATGAGCGAAATCGCACCAACTACTGCCCGTTTACGTGCAAGGATTAAAACCGGTCAAAGCGTAATGGAAATTGTATAGAGAATCTTTTTCATCCGCTCAGTTCTTCCCTCTGCACACATTCTTTTACTCATTATTAGAATTGTCGCGCCTGTTCGAACGGTCAACATTCTTCTTTTACTTTGATCCTATAACGTTTTTAATCATGTTATGTACGCAGCAACCTTTTTAATAAATCATCTTACTATATAAAGTGATCCTTTGCAAAGTTTATAGCACAATATTCAAATTATTTTACGAAAGATTTCAGTTAATATAATAATTAGTATTTAAATTTATTAATTCTGCATTTAATAATTCCATTTTATTTCATTTGGATTTTTAATTGTCAAGAGTTGATGTACATAATGAATGTAAGAACGGTACGAAAAGGGAGTAAAAAATATAAAAGATAGCAGCGCAAAGGTTAAAGGGGAACGAGAGAGGGAAAGAAACAAGAGAAGAACAAACTGAGGACCAGCGGCGGAGACGCGCGTGAACAAATCGGCGGAAGCGCGCGACGGGGCGAAAAGCATCCGGTATTTACCGGAAGAGATGGAAGAAACGGAGGAAGTTGTCCTCGCGGTCCCTTGCTCGTTTGCATGCTTCTCTGTCTCCTCGAGCGAGACTCGGGCTTGGAATTTTTCACGACGCGCCCTAAAAATATGTGGACGCGAAACCGGCGATCCGAAGTGAAATAATAGAAGCGATTTTTTAAAATGATAGCAGAAAATGCTATAATCTCCTTCGTGATTTAATTAATGAAATAAATAATTCTGTAGTTAAAGGAAAAAAAAACGATTCGATGCCAATGAACGTATAAGAAAAATTTATATTTTTAATGGCGAAGTGGAATCAATACTTATTTTTATAACTCGATTCCATTCATATTTTCATTGATAAAGAAATGCGGAATGAAAAACTAGCCGCCAATACGTACACGTGAATTCTCCATGCGTTGCCTTTCAACCTAATAACTAGCGAACTCAATTCCTATGTCCGAAAAAAAAAAAAATGTTCACCGCGAGAATAACCGCGTTCCCTTCATTATTTCCCGGGGACAACAACACCAAAGTGAATTACACCTCGAACGAAATATCTGGGATATTTTTGCACCGCAACACGGTTCGAAAATCTGTATCGGATTCCATCAGGGAAATATGCGAACGGAAAATCTCCGATCATGCGATCGAACGCATTACAGCGTTCGTTTTAATTATCCTTGTCCATTATCCTGCTTCCGGTCCCTGTTTCCCTTTCCAGCTTGCTCGTTCGTTACGTGTAATGATTCGAATAAACGGCGAGAGATTATTTCCGTTGCGCCGCGTTCGATCCAACCGACACTTTCACGATTGAATCCCGTGAATTAATTATTTTTTCCGTTTCCGGCGATGCAAGGAGAGACAGTAGATACGTATATACATATATGTATGCAAGGAGAGACAGTAGATACGTATATATACATATATATATATATAATGAGACCGACATAATTATAGCACGTAAGTAATTTACTGTCTTGTACTTTTCTTATTACGTTTTGGTTAAATGTCAAGAATATTATTTTCTATCTACACATTGAAAATAGTAATTATTCCTTTATTAAATTGTATACTAAATAAATAACGGGAACAGTTAAACAATAGTAAAATCATGTATTCATAAATAAATTGGATAATTCTTGTTCCTCACAATCGGAATCAATTCTCCATTAATTAGCAAATAATAATAATTACATACATTACCAACGAATTATTATATAAATTACCACGTTATTATGTAAATGATGCCAATGCATAAAGCAGAGTATGGAAAGACCGGATCGTCGAAACTCTGCCTAATGTTCTTAGTTTTCATTACGTGTGTGCCTTCGATATGAGCATTAGCATTCGCGGCCGCATTCGTCGGGCATTTTACCATGGAAAATGAGAGTGCCAGTTACTCTCGTTAGAACGGACGCGGTTCGTCGGATGAAAACGCTGTTACCGCGCGGCCGACCGCGATAACGCCGTTGGAAAATTGATCCCGCTGTTTAAGATCCAGCACGTACCACAGCACCATCGCCGCTAATTCGCGTTTTGTGAGTAGCTTACCCGCGCGGCCATATTTATTACACCTCGTGCAATCCGACATAAACGCGCTTCACATCGCGCGTCTATTAAATTTTAAACACAACATTAATTGACGCAGAAAGAAACCAACGGAGGGAGAATTTCTATTGTGTCGTTCAGTTTTCTATTGAAATTTATGTTTTATATTAAAATCGTAACTGGTTCTTCACTAATTTAATAAAATAACTGAACGAAAGGGTTAAAGGGATCTTGGCACGGAATTTCTTCGACACAGTTCTCACGGTACACAATATCCAATTTATACAGAAAGAATTTCTGTGTATAGCAGGCCGAGAGGGAATATTTTCAGAGAAGAATGTTAGACTTTCTCATAAAATTTTCTGTGAGAACTTAATTGAGCAAATACTTGTTACATGGGAAACGAAAAATGTGGAACCTTTCTTTTTCTTAATTTTAAGAATGCGGAACATTAGGGACAGAGAGAGTAGTAAAGAAAGTAAATACTGTATGAAACACTAATTTATATATTTTGCAATAATTGACATAATGTTCGCAGTTGATCTCGACTGTGTCAGAGTCTCTTATTTTTGCAATTTCGTCCATCGCATCCATCGATGCTTGTTGTCTCTTAAAAGGAATCGCTCGAATCCCCATTTCGTGTTGGAGTTACGGGAAAATTCGTGACGGTCGGTTGTTTTTCTAACATCCAGGACGGAGTGAGTTTCCTCAGCGAATAGAGGGACCGCAGAAAATCGACGGAAAGCCAGCGAGTAAACGAGGACGACGCGAGAAAACAGAGAGACCCGGTTGCGGTGCTGCCGTTGAGGGGAATCGGAAGAACTGGAGTAAAGGTCTTTCGTGGTTCTTCCGGAGTCCTCATTAAACGGATCGGCGAACGGAACGAAAAGAGGAATATTATAGAAGACTCTCTCGTCGCCGAGACAATTCCTGAGGAAGGCGACAAGTTTATTGTTGATTATTCAGACGAATTTATCGCGAGTTGCTGTTGTTTCGTCGCGTTCGTTAAAACTTGTTGATCCGTGCGAGTGTGCTCACTGGGTGACCGAAAACTTCCTCCAATATTGTTTTCCCTTTTCTTCGTTTTCTTTATCCTCGAAGAGGAGCGCGTAAGGAACTTCTCGTTCGTGACTGTCGACTGCCAAGTAGTGTTACGTACAGGAAAAGAAAATGTGATCGGAGGACAGGGTTTTGTTTATTCAGCCTGTACAAGGCTTCTTGTATACAGAGGGTGGAAAGTGTTACGGAAAAGGAATTAATGGAATTGAAAAAGTATCTGTCGCTTCAGTAAGCTCGTCTGTAAAAAGAGACCTTTGTTAATCGATCGGAACGAGGGTGAGAAGTTTCGTGATGAGAGAACTACGGGAACAGCGTCTTAATTGCTGCAATCGGATCAGTATTAAAAATGTTCCGCGCGAAGCTCGGGGGATGATCTGAAATTCAAAGATACTCTGTTTCATTTTTCTTAACTGTGGAAAGTAAGGTGAGGTCGTCGAGGAATTATCGGAGAAGCGACAGCGTACAAAAGAGATTACGTTTAGCGACGAACAACCGTTAATCAACGCGAATATACCGGGTGTACCGCGTGGAACTCGGAGTTTACGAGGAAGCCGGGGCCGGCGTTAAGAAATTCCGAGGTCCAGGAAGAGTTCTGAAGGACGCTTGTTAAACGTCGTCGAGCGGCGTCTCATTGAAACCTGAGAATCGGAGAACAAATTCACGCAGCAAAGCGTGCGTTCCGGTGATTCGCGACGGACAAATCTCCGGGGAACGAGGCCTGTAATCGACGAAGTGGAGATCGTCCGGGGGAGGAAATAGTGTACGAGGGGATAAAATAGTGCGCGAGGTGAATGGTGGACTGACGAGTTCCTGGTGATCGCGAGGAAAACTGGCGACGACGGTGTTTGCCTTCGGGAGGGACTCGTCCCGCGAATTTCTCGAGGCAAACGTCCAGAAGAAGGATTCGAGGTGAATGTCGATAGAGTGAGAGGAGGTCCGCAGGATCGATCCATTGGAAAATCGAGCCGGGGTACGAGTCACATACTGCCAGATGAGTTCAAGGAGGGTCCACGAGGACTCGGCTGACACGTCGTCGATATTCGAGTACGAGGACGTGATAAAATTATAATAAAGGCGGGAACTTTAGTTAAAAACCGTCGCTCGACGTGCGGAAGGAATACTCGTTCTTACTAGTTAGTCATCTCCTATCCCTCAACAAAGTAACACAAAGAAAACAGAGAAATATATATATATATATATATATTCATATACCTAGATATATATGTATACATAAATGATATATTGATGTTAGTCGAAATTATATTGATTCATCTCCATCGATCGGTGGAGACTCGTTAACAAGTTGAAATTCCGGCTCGTAGTTGGCAAGCCAAGGATAACCGTTTCTCCCTAACGGACAGGTGAAATTAGTTGGACAGTCGTGGAAACATGGCGATGGTAATATCGCCCCGTAGTAAAATCGTGACTCTGTCGTTGTTGATCTTTTTCATTACCCTCGTGGCGTTGATAATCACGGGCGTGGTCGGCATATGGCACACGGGCGAGAAACCGACGAAGTCCGGCACGCCGAAGGTGGTCAGCAGCAAGCTGCAACAGATCACCGGCTACACGGCCACCAAACACGTGAGTAGAAAGCCAGAAATCTTTTGCACGGCCAACTGCCAAACCGCTGACTTTTCTCATATTTTTATCATCGACTATTTTTAACAGTTTTATATGGTACCAAACGTACTAGAACATGTGTCATTATATATGTATATGCCCGTTTATGTGCTTTAACGTAGGTATATAACGTGTTTAAATGTTTCCCTTTTATGGACTTCTCATGTAAAATAATTTTAAGAACATTTTTCCATATAGCATTTTGTATAGAATATTGAAGACCATTTCTAACCATTTGACCATCGTGTGAGTTAGAATACAAGTAGAAACAAATAAGAGATTGAGTAAGAAATTACTGTATACGGTGCACTGAAAATTAAAATAAAATATTTTCGTTCTCGATGATTTTCACACGTTTTATGAATTTTTATTTTCTACTCATAATCAGTTGCCGGGTTCTTCTCATACCGAAAATATGAGAAGTTTGCGTCGTAATGGAACTGCGGTCCAGCTCCTCCTCGCGTCGGTTCATTCCTTTGTCCGCTTCGCTCGAATTCCCTAGCGCATCGCGTGATTCGACCGTGCAAAATTCGGTTAGAGTTGCATCGTCGTTAATGCATTTCGCCGTGAATTCTTGCTCCGTAGACAGACCCAACGATTACTGGGGAAAATTCATTTTTGAAGATTTCACGAAAACCTCGTTAACAAACATTTAAAGTGTTTTTAATTACACACAAAATTTTAGGACTCTTAACGTAAGAGTATCGAAGTTGTTCAGTTTTTGCTTAGGAAACTTTTTAGTTACTTTGCTGTTTGATGGTAATTTTAGAATTAACTGTACTCAAGGCTTAATTTCAGGGATGCTTGAATCTGAAGTAACGCAATTGTTTATGAAGTCCTACGTTTTTTAACTGCGATTAAATCAGTTTTCTGTTTAGTTACGTCGGTTCTTTTGAAACCTGACAAGAGTCGGCTAACGACTGATATTGTGTCGACTATTTTTTCCCGCGTCTCGTTCAACTAGAAGTTTGTCAAATTGGAACTAGTTTGCTCGCACCGGAATTTCTGAATTCGCTCTTCACTTTTTATTTGTATCCTCGAGATTTTTCAAATAGATTCCGCATTTCAATACATACGTAGATCTGGAAACAATTTTCCTTCCTTTTCATTGCATTACAAAGTGACACTTAATAAAACGCCCATCGAAACTTGTCAATCGAATCGCGCGAACTCGTTCAACTTGTATCCAACGCATCTTACATATTCATTCGTGCGTCTCTGTCTTTATTCGCGAATCACTTTGACTAATATTTTTGTTGAATTTTTCTTTTTATGGTACGAGAGATTCTTGAGATTTGTGATCGAGGCTGTACCTAAATCCAGCGTAAATCGACCATCGATCCTCTTTCGCGGTACGCTAGCCCGTCGAATCTGTAGCAATTCCAAAAATTAATTGAGAGTCGATCGATCGGGTAAACTCGGGCGGAGTTGGTTTTACATCGGTGAGTAGCACGCCGCGGCGCATACAAATGGCCGGTTTCCGGTTCGAATGCATAAAACACCGGGAACTTGCCGTTTGACGTCGTTGGCAAAAGCAAGGAAGTGGCACGGGTACTTTTCGGTTGCGTGAATTCCCTTCATTGAACTAAATACGAATTTAACATTTTCCTATAAACACATGGAACACCTAAAAAGATCTTTTTAAATAAGCGTTGTACTCATTTGTGCAACAGCTCGAAGAACAAACTTAAACGAGTTAAGTGATACTAAAAAATAATAATTTATTAAATAGTATTTCATGAAGAATAAAATTGTTGAGGGAATTCGTAGATTTGAAACCCGGTGGTTTGACACTATTTTCAAAAGTTGAATGCTGTTATCTAAAATCCGTGGACATCTGAAATCCAGATGTCCAAAGCATAATCCGTTTACGTACACAAAATGCGAGTATTAATATTGCTCTGCTGATTATAACAATTACGTGAGAAAAGGTAACAAACGGTTACACGTATTAAATAAATTCTCTCTGATTTGTTTCCACGGTAAATGCGCAGTAAAATCACGCATTTGCGTTCTTTTCAGCAGCGATCGTTACCGTTATCTTGATTAACGTCGTTCGCTCGGTATTTCTCAATTTATATGGTCGGGAAGAGAATCGTTGGTAATGGGTTGTAGGAATGTTTGCTTTGCTCGCGTGTAAGGATACAAATGGTAGCCAAGATTGATGGCATTATCCAATCGATGATACGCGGGGACAATGAAAAATTTCTATGTAAGTAAGACGAATGTGCTTTTTAATACAGGTGCAATTTTAATGACTCGTACAATGAAAAATATGTCATAAACAAATACCACATTCCTGAACTGCTTTTGTATAAAATTTTATCAACGCACACAGAAAATTATTCATTTATTTCTATTACTCTTTCAATGTCTGAAAATGTATATTAAAAAGGTATTATGAAGAACGTGATGGATTTTATCTCAAAAAGGGGAAACTAGAACACTAATTGGGGTCCTGAATTGCTGCTACTTTCCTCGAAGAAGATTGGAAGGGTATAGTTAGCAATTAAAGGTCCATCATTGCCATTTAAATTAATTCGTCCCCGGGAAAGTTGCCGGTAACGTCGCATCGCCTGGGACACAAATAACAGATTAATTTTAAAGCGAGCTCTGGCGACATTCAGAAAATAAAGAAATCCAGTGGAAGCAATTATAGGACGTAAATTAAACGAAATAAGCTCCGCCGTTATGGCTCTTTAATAAATTAATGTATTATACGCTTCGCTCTTCAGAGCATACTTCATATTGATAACGAAGTCAGATATTATTCTTAAATAAAATCAAACCAGTTAAGAGGATTAATAATTATAGACATTTTATTCGCAACGCTTTACAATTACGTATCTAAAATAAGGTAATGTTAATAAGGCAATCTTCGAAGTTGTATGACAAATCTCAGTAAAAAAGAAGGGTATGACATTTTGTTTATAATAATTTTCAACGTAACATTAATTACTTTTATCATTCCAACCATAAATTTTATCGCTCTTGCAAATTCGTGTATTGTTTGCATGCGAACTGTAATAAAAATATTATCCATCCTTTTACGTCCGGAGATTAAAGTTACATTCGGTATAAATGGAAATTGTATTGTCAGCTTTTTCCCGGTAATAGATTTATAATGCGCAAAAAAGTCGGAGAACGTAATAACAACGGACGCATTGACGGTTCCTCAATTTCATCTGAAAATACGACCGCAAACGGCGACTCGTGAAACAAACGCGAACGTGAAATTGCTTACGTACAAAATGAGTTCAATTAAACACGAGATTTAAATCTTGCCATTCTCAGCGATTTTTATGCTTTCAATTACCTACCTGTCAACGCGATCATCCATTTTATTTTCGGACACGAGACTCTAATTTCAATGCTCTCGTCCTAAATTATGTTCGCCTCGATAAACTAATTTTCAATATAACAAAAATAGTGTACATTGAACAAATAAATCGTTTGTCATTGAATATATTCACATTTGAGGTCAGTAATAATTATCTTGATTTTTAAAGCAGCCAATGGCAAGCAAAATGTAACAATTTTTTTTCTCAAATGAAGACAAGTATCGATTTTCAATATATCGGATGAACTTTTACCTGTTAACCGATTATTGAAAGAAGTTCCCACGTTTCACTCTGCATTTAATTCTATTATCTTCATTGATGTTCTGACACATTTTTTTACTTGTTAACTATCTTTCATCTAGTTAAGAACAGTAACTATAAAAGGGAGAGAAGTATGATATCCACAGAGTTTAAGTAATTCAATCTCATAATATTTTCAATACCCAATTCGAAATACACAAATATGTTATGGGAAATGAACAGGTTGACCCGAGTACATGAGTTCGAAATTTACGTGATTGACTAGTTATTAAATTAAGTTCTTCCTCATGTTCGCGATGTTTGATGAATATTTGTGAGTAGCAGTTCCTCAGAATAAAAAGGGAATTCATGACGATTGGTATATCATATTGAAACTGGTCGTATACCGACGTAAAAGTTACATTAGTTCACAATCGAGTAAGGAGTTTCAATCCCACAGGGATGCGAAGTGAATGAGAAACGACTGTCCCAACGTCGTAAATAAAATGTACACTCAGTTATGAGCACGAAGAAGTGCTCGTTAAGTACTCTTTGATTTTTCCTTTACTTCAGATAAATCGAAATATTCTTATTAATATTATTTTGCATGAATTTACATTGAATTGTAAAAATACGGAATATAAATTCTTAATCAATTCGTAACTCAATTTCGTTAGTGAATTAAAATAAAGATTTGCAACATAACTTTGCTAAATGATATTTTGTCAAGTATTTCATATATTTAATATAAAATATTTAGATTTAATGAACATGGAACAGTAGATATATATAAAGGAGAATTAATAGTAATTCAGAATATAGATGGGAAGGAGCAGAGAAATTTTTGCATTAACTGATAACGCTGTTTCTTTATTTTGGTTGCTGAATATTCTGATATGGAATTTCCTGCGGCGGCGAGCGTGGAAGCACGCAATCATCTCGAAGACGCGCGCTCGCGTGATAAATGCTCTCGCACGCGTCGGAAATATTTCGTGGCGCACTACTGAAATTCCCACAGTGTATCTGTATCGGACCTGGGAGCCTGCTATCTCTCTCGCTCACTCCCCCGCCCGCACTCAAGATTAAGCACGCGGCCAGGCATTCGCGTTCGCGCGGATACCTTAATGATACATTGTTCAGAAATTTATGTTTAATGTTCACGCAGAAGTTCGCCCGTGTCCCGTGATTTGTCGTCCCTCCTGAAGATTTTTGAGAACAGCTATTAACAGAGAACAAAATTAATCAGTTAATTAAAGTTGTACAATGAAAAATAATTGTGGCACTTTTTTGTTAAGGATGTATAGGCTATATACTTAAACAATGCTAGCATGTTGAATTTGTTATTATAGATTCCTATTACTATTAACAAGCTACCTTGCA